CAGCCGGTGTGCGGGCTGTAACACACACGACAGCCGGTGTGCGGGCTGTAACACACACGACAGCCAGTGTGCCCCTCAAGGCATCTGTCACACCTTGAACCTGTATGGCATAGGTGGCTGAAAAGTTAAGTAAACTAAGATTCATAGACTGGATCAAAGAACAAACCAGCAGTATTTATAAGACATCTTACTTATGAGGACAAGGTTAGATTGAGCATATAAGAGGATGGGGAAAGATACACTATACGCACGCGAAAAGCAAAGCTTGTCTAGCTATATTCATGTTGCACACTTTGAGGAAAGAGGTGATATTAAAGACACATAGAGACAATTCTTAATAACAAAGGGGTCAATTTAGCAGGAATACACTTAATAACAAAACTTCAAAACATGTAAAATTATCAAAACTAAAAGGAGAAATAGGCAAATTCACAATTATAGTTGTAGATGAACACACTTCTATCAGCATGCGATAGAACATGCAGGCAGAAGTGAGACTTAAACAACACAGAACTTGAACTAAACTGACAGCAACTGCAGAATCCTGTACTTTTACCAAAATAGACCATATTTCAAAATGTATGGGTTGTGATTAGCCCTTAGAGCAAAATATATTTTAGACAAAAAGAAATGCTAAATATGAAACACCTGAGCTTCCACCTCAAGAAGAAAGAAAGAGAACAGCAAATTAAACTCCAAGGAAGTAGAAGGAAGGAAATATAAAAGAGCAAGAAAGATTGAAATAAAATCAATTGAGGAATTGAGGAAATTCAAAAGATAATTACAATTGATAAATCCCTAGTAATACTAATAAAACAAAAAAGAGACTGTAAGTTACCAGTATAAAAGGTGCAAAATGAGAAATACCATAGCTCCTATTAGCATTAAAAACATTATGAACAGCATATATCAAGAAACTTGAAACCTAGATGAAAGGAGCACATTTCTTGAGTAAGCACAATTTATCAGACTGACACTAAAAGAAACAGAAAAAATAAGTAGTCTTATAGCTGTTAAAGAATTTACATATGTAATTAATAATTTTCCTTGTGTAGAGACCCTTTATAGGATTGTGGGATCAAATGGAAGGTTTATTTTTACCTTTTTCTTTGAGGATTCTCCATACTTCTTTCCATAAAGGCTCTATTAGTTTGCAATTCTACCAGCAGTATGAAAGTGTTCCCTTCTCTCCACATCCAAGTCAGAATTTGCAGCTTTGGGACTTTGTGATGTGGGTTATTCTCTTTGGGGTTATAGGGGGAGAAAGGAGGAGGGAAAAGGGAGAGGGGAGAAGTAAGGGAAATTGGTAAGCTCTCACTTAATGGGCACAACATAAGGGTATTCAGCACACCCCCTGGTGAAGAGCTGAACTACAACTTGAACTTTACCTAACGAATACAAACAATGGAACCTAAACATTTGTAGCCTCATATTAATCTGAAATAAATAATAATAATAATTGTCCTATAATGAAAAGCTTAAAGCTAGATAGCTTCACAGGTAAATTCATTCAAGTATTTAAGGAAGAAATAAAACTAATTCTAGCCAAATTCTTCCAGAAAATAGAGAAACAGAAACATTATGAAACCAGCATAACTCTGATTCCAAAACCAATGATATTACAAGAAAAGAAAAATTTTGTATAATCTCTTATAAACAGATATAAGAATACTAGTAAGATATTAACAATCAAATCTAGCAGTATACAGAAAGACTAATAAGTCATGCCAAAGTTGGGTATATTCTAGGAATATAATTTGGCTTAATATTCTAAAATCAGTGACTATATTAATAATTCAACATAGTAATATAATATAGGAGGAAAAACTCATATGGTCATCTTAATGGGTGCAGAAAAAGCATTTGATAAAATTTGATTTTATAACAAAAATTCTCAGCAAACTGGGAGTAGAATGGAATTCCCCAAATTCCATAAGTGTTTCTTTCAAAAACCTATTTCTAGCTGGGCATGGTGGCTCTGGCTCATACTCCTAGCACTTTGGGAGGCCAACATGGAAGGATCACTTGAGCCCAGGAGTTTGATACCATCCTGGGCAACATATTGACACACTATCTCTACAAAAAATTTTAAAAGGAAGGCATGGTGGCATATGCTTGTGGTCCTAACTACTTGGGAGACCGAGGCAGAAGGATTGCTTGAGCCCAGGATTTTGAGGCTGCAATGAGCTATGCTGGCACCATTGTACTCCAGCTTGGGTGGCAGAGTGAGACCCTGTCTCCTAAAAATAAAATACAACCTATAACTAACAATGTACATAATGATGCACTATTGGTCATTTCCCACCCAAATTCAAGCCCAAAATAAGATGTGCACTAACACCATTTCTATTCAACAGTGCACTAGCTAGAACATCACATACAAACGACAATAAAAGAAAAGTTAAAGATTAGAAAAAAAGGAAAACTCATTATTTGCAGATGCTATGATTGTGATATAAAAAATCCAAGATATTTATCTTAGTTTATTCCTGCTTATATGGCAAAGTACCACAGATTAGGTAATTTAGAAGTAATAGAAAATTATTTCTCACAATTCTAGAGGCTGAGAACTCCAAGATCAAGGTGCTGGTAAGTTCAGTGTCTGTTGAGGGCCTTGTCTCTGCTTCTAAGATGGTGCCTGGAATGTTGTGTTGTCACATTGTGGAAAGGACAGAAGGACAGCAGAGAAGCAGGCAGCTCCCTCATACCTCTTTTATGAGGCCATTAATCCCATTCGTAAGGCCTCTTTACTCCTGACTTAATTACCTGTTAAAGTCACTACCTCTTAATGCTATCACATTAGTGATTAAGTTTCAACATAATGAATTTTGTGGGAACACATTCAGACCATAGCAAGACCCTACAAACTATTAGAATTAATAAATGAATTTATCTAAATCTCTAGGTACAAAGTAAATATATTAAAATAGTTTCTATATACTAGCATTGAACAATTGGAAAGAAACTTTTTAAAAATTAAATCATAGCTGTGTACATTAATGCAATTATGGGGTACAATGTGCTGGTTTTATATACAATTTGAAATATTTTCATCAAAGTAGTTAACATAGCCTTCACCGCATTTTCTTAGTTATTGTGTTAAGACATTTATACTCTACACTTAGTAAATTTAACATGTACCCTTGTAAAATGCACCATAGTTGTGTTCCCACCAATTACACTCCCTCCACGCTTCCTTCCCCCTCCCCTTCCTTCCCTCTCCTCTTTCCCCTTCTTCTTGTGCTATAGTTGGGTTGTAGCTTTCATAAGAAAGCTATAAATTGGTTTCATAGTAGGGCTGGTAATTGGATACTTTTTTTCCATTCTTGAGATACTTTGCTAAGAGGAATATGTTCCAGCTCCAGCCATGCAATCATGAAAGAGGTAAAGTCTCCATCTTTCTTTAAGGCTGCATAATATTCCCTGGTGTACATATACCACAATTTATTGATCCATTCATGGGTCGATGGGCACTTGGGCTTCTTCCATGGCTTAGCAATTATTAATTGGGCTGCAATAAACATTCTTGTGCAAATATCTTTGTTACAAAGTGATTTTTGATCTCTTGGATATATACCTAGTAGAGAAATTGAAGAATCAAATAGCAGGTCTATTTTTAGATCCCTAAGTGATCTCCAAATATGGAAAGAAGCTTTTAAAAGTATCAGTTACAATAGAGTACAAAAAAGTTTTGAAATACCTAGGAATAAATCTAATGAAAGTTGTGTAAGATATCTACCCTGAAAACTACAAGACTGCTGAGAAAATAAAGGAGATGGTCTTAATCCTTTGTGCATCGCTACAAAGGAAATACCTGAGGCTGGGTAATTGATAAAAAAAGTTTATTTGGCTTATGGTTTTCCAGATCACCCAGGAAACATGGGGCTGGTATCTGCTTCTGGTTCGGGGTTCAGGGAGCTTTTACTCATGGTGGAAGGTGAAAGGTGAGCAGGTGTCTCATGGTGAGAGTAAGGGAGCAAGGGAGGGGGGAAGAGGCTCGGGCTCCTTTAACAGATCTCCATGTGTGCTATCTGAGCAGGAGCTCATTCATTACATTGGGGTTCAAATTTTCAACATGAGCTTTGGAGGGGAACAAATATCCAAACCATATCAGAGACCTA